ATATGATGGCATAGTGTGTTTGAATGTACCACAATTGATTTAACCAATCTCGTAATGATGGGTAGTTAGATTATTTTTTATTTTTCACTGTTTTAAATACTACTAGGATTGATGTGAGAAAGGTCCCCAAGAATCTTGCATGGTGGATTTTATTCTCTGTGGTTTTGAGCAAGGAGTTGAGGGGCATGAAGGGGCAGGAGTTTGTAGAAAAGGTGGTAGATTGAGCCCTAACTACTCAGTATATTGGTGACATCATCTCTGGTATTTTCTGAGACATTCCTGATTTGGAACATTCCACCTCACTGGGGCCATGTATCCTGAGTTTTTGTTTGGGAAATTTTATCACCCCTCCATGCCATGAACTTCACGCTTCAGCAACGTTGACTTGCTTTTCACGTCCACACCTGCTATGCTGTTCTCACTTCCCTGCCTTTGCTTATGCTGACCCCTCGGCCTGGAATGCCTGCCTCCTCCTCTTTATCTGTCTCCTTCTTTTTCATCATTCTTTACGACTCATCAGAGACATCTCCCCCAGCAGGTTTGCGTAATCTTTCTCTACCCCAGACTGGGTTGGGATCCTCTTCTCCATGCATTCATAGCATCCTGTGCTTACTTCTTTTACTGAACTTAGCATTTTATGGCCCTCCCCTACTCGGCCATGAGCTTCTCAGGAGCAGATGACCTTTGATTTAATAAAAACAGAGCAAACGCTATTACTTGATATAATGACTAGAGCACTTTGGGCATTGAGCAAAATTTTAGTGAAAGGATAAATGAATCAATGAGCCCCCATGGAAAAGACAGGTAGTTGGATTGTCCTAGGGCTAGGGTTTTGCTGGACAAAGCTGGCCCATTTGGGCAAGAGGGTTGAAGTGGTGGAGGCTGGTGTCTATGCTGGACAGGAAGGAAGTGAAGGCAGGAAGGGAAGGTAGAGTGAACACAGAGGAATCAAGGACCAGAGGGCTCTGTGGATTTGAAGGACCAGTGTGGTGACAGCAATGCCAGGGCTGGACTGATAGGTAGTGCTTCATAAACTCAACTGTGCATAAGCATCATCGAGGGAGCTTGTTGAAAATGCGGACTTCTGAGTACCCCTCTTAGTGATTCTAAACCAGTAGGTCTGAGGTGGCGCCTGGGATCTGCGTGTTTAACAAACACCCCAGGAAGTTCTCATTCGAGGGGTCTGTGCACCACCCTTGGATAAATTCTGAAATGAGAGGCTTTGGGCAGAAAGTGAGTTGTCTGATTTTAAGATTTCAGAGGTGGAGCCGTCCCTCCTGAAGCCGAGGTCCAGGTGTGGCCGCAGGAATGCATGGAGGTAGGTGATGATGAAGGTCAAGGGATGGATCACCCATGTGCCAGTCACCTGGGATGGGGGAAGGGCCTGGGAGAAGGAGGGACTCAGCACCATGTGCCAAAGTCTTCCATGAATAAAGACGAGTTATCAGAGGGGTGGTAGATGATCTCCATGTTGGGATGGAAACTTTACAAACGAATAACTACAGTTCTTGGGTGTGAATGCCTGACTGCGCTGTGGTGAGGAGGCTGTTTGTGGTGGAGGAGAAGAGATGGCGCTATGTTGGAACCTTCTTCTCACCAGCATTCCCAAGGCTGCAGGTCTGCCGGGGGAGAGGTGAGGCAAGTGACGGTAAAGTGCTACAAAAGGCTGCAAGAGCCTCATCACAGGCACAGATAATAAAGACCTTCAGAAGGCACTTGGGGTTGAGATTGGAGATGAGGCTCCAGAGGGGTCTATGGATTCCACCACACAAACAGTGGTGTCAGCAGAAATCATCCTCCTTCAATAATCCAAGTGTCTCCAGCCTGGCTCGTTGGAGATTTGAGGTGCTGATTAATCACGCCTCTTCCTACCCATGGATTCTAACCAACCTGAGAAATAGGCATGAGTGATCAATAAGGATTCAGATACCACCTTTGTTTTATTATCCAAAGCTGGATTGGAGAATGTGGCTTAGAACTGAGGCTGAAATTGGACTTTCTGCTTCTGCTTTCTCGAATCTAGTGCCTACATATGGGGTGAATTGGGTCTGTGGAACCAATCTTGTCCCATCCGCTGCATATGACGTGCCCCATACATCCCCCACCATGGGGAGAGTGGTGGGCTCCAAAACTGCCTTTTCATGCAGAGACCCACCTCTAGTTAATGCAGCCCAGTGGATGAAAAGCTCTGCCCAGATCACTGAGGACATGAGCCACCCCTCCTTGTCCCAAGGAGGCATGAGAGAGGGGGTGAAGAGGATGGCTCCCTGAGTGACCACGAGTGTTTGAGGAAATTCCCATTTTATGGACCAAATTGTGTGGGGAGAGAAGAACAGAAGTTACCCCATGACGCTCAAAAGGCAGGGGAGATGCTACAGGGCACTGTACAGGGGAAATCAGACCCTCAAGAGCAGGATCCTGGAGTATGGGAATTTGGTAAGATTTCTAGGATTTTGTAACTCTCTAACTTTGTTACCTACTTCTTGACTTCTAATTTTTACCAGTAAAGGCTTTCAAAAGAAAAGGTTTCAAGTCCTTGGTTTTGGATCCAGCATACACAGCATCCATGAGAATGCCTCTCGCAGATCCCTGACCACTGGGAGCGTGTTGAGCGAGGGCTCTGCTGCTGGGCCCTTCAATCTTTCAGTGTTTGTTCCAAAGTCATGCCTCCCAAAGATTGCTCCCAGCCAGCAACTGAGAGTGGCAGGGACGATTCCTAGAGACATGGGACTCCCCCGACGGTCAACTTTGGCTTGAAGACTCCCTGGCAACTTTGCCCGACTTTTCTTAGATGGCTCAGCACTTGAGGACCCTCCAATCACCTGTCCTTCCTTCTCTCCTTCACTCAGGGTCAGACCTGCACTGCAATCCAACAGCTCTCCCAGCCTTACCCGGCTCCCTTCCCATTTTCTCCTGAAAGTGCTTCCCCTAATAAAATTTTTGCATGTTTAATCTAATCTTGATGACCACTTCTCGGAAGACCCAGACTAACACAGCAGATAAAGTAGGAAGGGTGTGGTGGCCCAGGACACTTTTTCTTACTCTGAAACCTGCCTCAGGGAGTGTCACCTCTGAAAAACTTCAGGAAAGCTAACCCTATCACTGGTTAGTAAGAGCAATGATGTTAGACAGAGTTTACTCAGCAGTGACTATGTGCTGGACAGAATGCGTGTGTTTTCTCTGTAAGCCCCTACTTTGCAGATCAGAACCTGATGCCCAATGAGATTAAGCAACTGGATCACCATTGGGCAGCTGGCAAGTGAGGAGCTCTCAGGTGGAAATACAGACCCTTCTGGGTGCCATCCCCATGCTCTTTCTACTGCTTCATGCTGCCTATAGGGAGGAGGAACTTCCCAGGATGGAGCCACAACCAGGTTATTTGGCCAGCTCTTGTCTTTAGTGACACCCAGGCATTTTGGGCATACTGGTGTCTGCAAATATCTTCAGAAGTGTGTCTCGTTTTAGGCCACTCCTGCTTGCAGTGACCACTGAACCTTTAAAGCCAGTTTTTCTAATGCTCTTAACTCAGATCAGGATCAGAGTCCACAAACCTTGTAATGGACCAGATCAAAGTCATGATCAAAAGGTAGATTGGTGCAAACATCCCCAATCTTTCACTGCTGCCAGTGAAAGACTATCTTTCTCTCTTTAATCACATCTAACTAGGCAGGTCGATGTTGGGGACTGGAATTGGCCACCCCAAGATATGCCTCTTTGGCATGAGGATTATTTTGGGCTGATTAATTTTAAAAACTGCAGACAGGAAAGAAACTCTGAAAAGTAGAATTTACTTACCCTTTGTTAAGAGACGTTTAGATTTGTAGAGGAAATCTCCATCTGTAAAGGTGTCTCCCTCTCTGTACTGAGAAGAAGGTGGGGATGACGTTATCTCTAGAAACTCTTAATCAATGTGGAAGGCAAGGACTTAAATCTGCATAATAATCTTACTCTTGTTTACTGTACTTGTCTGGTAACCTCCGGTAACCGACTCCCCCCACCCCCAACATCCTCCTTTGTCTTTAGCTGAAGATGATATTTAAGGTAGTGGCTTCAGCCATTTTGGCGAGTTGCTCAGTTTGCCTGAGCCTCTCCCATATATGCATGTTATAAAGGTTTGTTTAATTTTCTCTTGTTATTCGGTCTCATGTGAATTTAATTCATTCTCTGGTCAGAAGAACCCAGAGTGGGTAGAGGAAATGTCTTTCTCCCCTACATCAGCTTGACTTGTAAAATAGATCCCAAATCTCTCTGCTTCCTTCTGTTCCCCCTGCTCCCACTCTTGTTCTCCATCTTCTCTCCTCTGCAGCTGCAGGAGCCTCTGACTGGCCTTCCTGCTTACCTTTGGCCCCTTCCAGCCCATTCTCTACATACAATCAAAGCAATTGCTCTAAAAGTAAAATCAGATGGCATCCATCTGCTACTTTAAACCCTCAAATGACTTCTAATTCCACTTGGAAAAAGATCCTCACTCCTCCCCATAGCTCCAGTGACCCTCTTGACGTGGGGTCGGTGAGCCGAAGAGTTGAAAGAAAGATTTCTTGGACTTTCAAGGTCTGGCAGTAGTGCTCTTTTATTTAGAGAATAGTATGGAATAGCATGGGGACGGGACCCATGGGCAGTAAAGAGCTGCTGCATGGGGACAGGACCCATGGGCATTGAAGAGCTGCTGCCCTGAGCTGAGGGTTAGAGCTAAATTTATAAGGCATGGGGACATGACTTATTTTTACTGGAAAAAGAAAAGGTGATGTAAAAAGTCATTAAATGATTTCAGTGCAGATGGGTTCTGGTTATTGTGCAGTCGTATAACTTTAGATACGAATCTGGTCATATCGATCGGCATGTAGGTGAGGATGCCCTGGGCTTCTCTCTCTGGGGCGGTCCTAATTCATACCATAAAAATCCACCGGGTGATATAGATCGGCATGTAGGCCAGGTCACCTTGGGCTTCTCTACCTGGGACAGCCTTAATCCACATCACTCTGAGACCAGGCTGCTGCCTCTCACTCCTGTCCCTCTCTGATTGACACGCCTCCTACTCCGCCATCACATCTGTGTGTTTCTGAGACAGACCAAGTTCTTCCCCACTCTATTATCTTTGCGCTGGCCATTCAGTTGGCCTGGAATGCTCTTCCCATCTTTGCATGTCTTGCTTCTCCCCATCCTTCAGAGTCTCTAGGACCAGACAACCTAAAGCTCACCCCCAGTTGCTTTCACACAGTCGTGCTTTATTCTCCTCGGAGTGCTAACCACAATGAGAAGTTGTGTGATTTACTTGTTCACCTGAGTGTCTTGTTCACAAGAACGTCAGCTCCATGGGGGGAGCCTGCTGTCTGCTGTGATTCTGTATCCTCAACCCTGAGAACTGCGCTACGCACATTGTAGGTGCTCAATAAAGATTTGCTGATTGAATAAAGATCAATCAGCAATGAAAGTAGAGTATGTCTAAATGAAAAAGAATGGAGAAGAGGTGAGCCAAGCACTTGTGTTACATGCAACAACATATCCATGCTTTTTGAGAGGAGACCTACTTTCTCTTGCCATAAAATTGAACTTACAGGAAAAATTGACTAAAAAGATTTCAAGGTTTGATTCAGGATGGGAGGGACCGGTTGCTTATGTCTCCAGTTAGGTTTTCATCAGGGAAATTAGAAGGGAATTGAAGTAACATTTGGTAGAGACCTACCAGGGGCCAGGGCTGTGTTGGGGTCATGAAAATAATAAATGGCGCTTACTGTGGGCTTACATGGACATACCATGGTTGTATACATGAGACATCCCTTATGTCAATTAATCCTCACCATGACCCTACAAAGTTGGCACTGTCATGGACCTCATTGTATAGGAGAGGAACCGAGGTCCTAAGATGAGAATTTGCCTGAGGAACCACATCTGGTAATGACTGAGCTGTGGTTTCAATCCTCTTCTCTTTGATTTCGAAGCTCGTCATCATACAAGTTTACGTATAACCTGTATAGCGCCCATTAATTGCATGTTCACAGCGTGAGGCCCACTACTAAGGCTCTAGGTAGAGGTATGTTCATCAACCAGGATCAGAACCCACCTTGGGTCACATGGCCTGTTGAATGGCTTTGGCCACCCTCTACCTTTAGTTTCTGGTTTGTTCTCCTGAGGGCAGAGGTAAAGACAGCTGTGTGATTGACTCACCCGTTGCCAGCAAACCAAAGGCCTGGGAAGGTTTTTGCTGATTCATGGGGGGCGATGTTTGTTGCTCGGCACTGGAATCACGTGTGCCATTTGTGAGGCTCCTCAAAGGTTTATTGCGAGCTACTTATGGTCTGATGTTCGCAATAGAGTGTAGGGGTTGTTTTGTGGATCCTGGAGTCAGACAGGACTAGGTTCGAATCCTGGCTCTATCACTTATGAGATGTGAGGCGATGCCTTTTGACGACTTTGTATCTGTGTGTGCGAAAAACAGAAGTTGCCTGCCTCATAGCTTTTCATTGATTGTGATCATGCACTCCACATGGAGCCTGTAACTAGCCATCGGTAAGCATTAGCTATTGGTGATATTTTTATTAACATCATTGTATCGAATTTGAGGACTGTCCTGGGCCAGATTGTGGGAGAGGATGTGGGACAGGATGATGGGGTGGTGTTTGTGATCTGACTGCATAGGGAGGCTTTAGATTAATAAGACTAAAGATCTCGAGTGCTCACAGTTTCTACATCTATAAAATAGCAACGGTAATACTCCTTTGTTGGTGTAAAAGTTAAATGAAAACACCTATAAGGTTAATGATGATAATGGCTGGTATTTATTGTCCACAATATGTTCTAGGCATTGTTCTAAGAATTTAACCCACTGAGTCTACACAGCAAACACTCTGAAGTAGGTGTTGTTATGATCTCCATTTTAAAGATGAGGGACGGGAGGCAAGTGTGTGTCTGGGATATCACAAGGATTAATTAAATATTTATTAGTTGCTGAGATCTTTCAGAGGAAGAAACTCTTCATTATCTCCAGGGCCCAGCCTGGTACCTCGTACACAATAGGTGCTCAGTAAATTTTTATTGTTGAATAAATGAGATAGATCAGAGGTGGGCAAACTTTTTCTGTGAGTAAATATGCTGGGCTTTGTCTTCCACACGGTTTTCGACACTTGCGTTGTAGTGCAAAAGCAGCCATAGATGGTGTGGAAATACACGAGCGTGGGTGTGTTCTGATAAAACAGTTTCTAAAAACACATGGCAGGAGAGACTTGGCTGGGGGCCGTAGTTTGCCCAGCCCTGACATAGATGCTGATGCTGATAAACAGTGCCGTTTGTTAAATGCATACTCTGCGCTAGGTACCGTTCTAAGTACTTTCATGACCCTGATGAGGAAAGTAGGCTTGTTGGGTTTAACAACTTGTCCAGGTCTGCAAGACTATAGAACCCGGACTAAGGAGACGGTGTTAACCACTTTAACATTACCCAGATGAAAGTCTAAGTTAGTTCTAGACTCTTCCTACCCAAAGTCTGTAGATAGACCAGCAGCATTAGCATCACCTGGGAGCGGATTAGAAATGCAGATTTTTGCCCTCCCTAGACCTTCTGAATCAGAATCTACATTTTCATAAGACTTCCAAGTGATTCTCATGTACGTTAAAATTTGAGAAAGAAAGCAAAACAGAACCAAAAAACCAAACACTGTTCAATATCCTGAAATATTTAGTTTTCATGAATAATCTGGTTAATAGTAATAACATGGCTGAGCTTTTCATTCATCTTGTGGGTGTAAACCTCCTGTTAGTATATTGCTGGAAGAACAAGAGAGTCAAGAACACCTATGAAAAAACATAAGTTTAGATGCCAAGTAGAAGCTTTATTATCAAACAACCACTGGAGGCTCCTAGGAAAATGGAGCCAATGATTGAATGGTCTTTACCGTAAAAGCATTAGAAATATGTGATGTGAGCTGATCGGTTTCACTGGCCCGGGTTAGAACTTGGTTGTTTACACAGAGATTAAAACCCAGGTGAAATTTCTCAGAAGCTCCGAATCGGAGCCAAGCGTATTGATGTTCCATTTGGCTACTTTCTTGTGACAAGAACAGATGGAGTAGCCCCTGCAGCAGCCTCTCCTTGCTGTGGCTTAATCTGATTGACAATCGGATCAGCACAAAGGGCAGTGAGGAATCACTCCGCCAACAAGCTCCTTGCCCTCCCGTCTCTGGAAGAATGTTGACTGACAGGGACTCAATTAAAAGGGGATTGATTTATTGAGCTGGAATGCTCTGGCCTCCTTAATCTCAGCATCTCTCTCCTTCGTGCAATCACCGTTCCCAAACAAGAGTCAGTCTCCACAAATGAAACCCTCCCGATGACCAGGGAGCCAAAGGCGCTGTTAGTTGACCGAAGGTAGCTGAGCTCTAGAAGCCCATAAAGAAAAACCACATAAAAGAAGTCCTTCCCGCACCAGGGCCTGGATAAGGATCTGGAATGCAGCAGGGGAGGAAGACCTAAACAAAAAATAAGCAGTGGCAATGAAAACTGCTACCCTTGGCTCCAGGGGGAAAATGGGCTAAGGACAGTAAATGGGCGAAGGAGCCCTACTTTTGCGTTTTATATACTGTAACTGTAAGTTTCTGTTAGAAATTACAGGGTCATCAAGCATCTGGAATGTTGATGGGGATGCCAGTAGAATCCCAGGGAAGAAAAAAGTCTATGGGTTTGAATTTGATGCTCCCTTTGAACTGTTTCATTGAGCTGATGCAGTCCAATTTCAGCTACGTGTATGCAAATAATTATTTCTAATTGGTGGGATTTGAGGGGCACCCCATAAATAGCATCTCTTTTGTTCAGTAGAGTTGTGAACTGATTGAGAAGTGAAATGAAAGACTTGGCAGCTGGAGACGCAAATACGGTACCATCTTTGTTACTGATAGAGTGGAGAATGTGGCTTATATCTGTGGACTGGTGGATTTCTTGATCCTGAGCTCCCAGCCTAAAAAGACTTACCTCCCCCAGGTACAGTGTCTCTGGAAGGTTCTTGTGAAGCTTACTGGGTAGAGGGGCAGAGCTGAACATGCTCCCTGCAGACAGGCTCACTCCAAAGAGAAAGACTAAGACAGAGTCTGGGCCACACCTTCCTCATTTCTTTTTCCAAACTTCCCGGAATAAAAATATCACTCTTTCTGCCCTGGGGGTCAGTGAGTGAGGGGACAGAGAGAAACCAGGAGTGAACTGGGACCTCTCCCACATGGAAGGAATGGTCATGAGTGAGGAGAAGCGCCCTCTACCCCCATGCTAACAGTTCTGAAATGATAATAATGATAATAGACATAATAATAAAATAACGACAAAAGTTACCATTTACCAAGTATTCACCCCGCTCAGGCTCTGGGAAGAATACTCTGTCGCATCTAATCATCAGAACAACCCACTGAGATCATTTTATTATTGTCTCTCTGCCACAGGTGAGAAGACAGACTGAGAGAGGTTGTGTGACTTGTCCAAGGACACACAGCTAGGAAGCAGGAGAACTATAGCGCAAGCCCAGCTTCACTTGGATCCAGAGCCTGAAACATGAAGCAGGCTCCCCTCTATTGTTGAATGAATAAATGAACGAGGTGAAACTGGAGGACAACAGGTTGAGGGGTTTGGCCGGCTTGGGACAATCTGTGTGCAGTGTTGTAAATTCAGTTGCCTTTCTCCTGCCTCAGGGGCTGGTCCTGGGCACTTTTCACCTGGACGTTCTGCCCCTGCCAGGCCAGGCGAAGAAGTGCCCCAGACGTGGGCTCTGGAGCTGGTCCTGCTGTCCCAGGGGCCCCCTGTCAGGGTGTGCTGGGGAAAGAGTCACAGGCATCGGCTTGTCCACTTGGCTACCACCATCCCCTTTGCTTGGGTTTTGATTTCATTCTAGATCGCCAGTGGATCTGCTCTGGTTGGCTTTCCAGATGGCCGGGTGGCCTGAACACCACCTGCCAGAGGAGCTCTTGGACAAAGCCCCTTCCCCAAAGAGAACGGCATAAACCCATCTCTGTCTGAGCTGGCAAACTGACTCACGGATTAGGGAAAAGCGTGGCAGACTGAGGCTGCCACTCAACTTCCCCTCTCCTGGCGGGAATTTCCCGGTCTCCGTGCATCTGGTCACCACATTTCCAGACATCCCTCTCACCGCTGGGCATTAAACAAAAAACAGAGCCCCTGAGACCTCATTTTCCCCGGCTTGTTCTTCACACCTCACGAGTGATTTTTAATCCTTGGGGCAGCCACAGTTATCTTTATTCCTGCTTCCTCCCTCCCGGAGAGGACCCCTTCCCTTCTCTGGGTATCTGTATCCTCCTCATTGACTTTGCCACCTCCCGCTCTTTCCTCATTCGCTGTCACGCCTGCCCTTGCGTGGACTGCTGTTATCTTAATCTCTTTCTTTGGAAACTCCTGTCACTTCTAATTCTCTCATTTTTCTCCATCTACCTCAGCCTTTTTTCCCAGGCCCCTTCGCCTTCTCAGCTTTCTTTTCAAAGACCTTGTATTTCTTTTTCTCCTTATATGGTCCAATGTGACCTGACAGGGTGGCTGAAGCAGCAGATTGGGGATAGAAATATGCACTAGTTCTCCACAGATTTTTTTTTTTTGAATGGAGCATTTGCAATCAATTTATGTAGTTTAGCTGAAAGGTTAAGAATTTTCCACTTAAAAATCAACCTCTCCAAATTAAAATTTTTTGGTGCTTTTTTTTCATTGTAGTCAGGTCTACACATGCCCTCATGCAAGAGACTGTTCTGGAAAGGGCTTCCTGAGGAAGGTCTGTGGAGTGTGCACCACTTTTACTCAAGCCTTTTGAACATTGATTTCTCGGAGGCTGGAGAATATGTTGTTCTTTTGTCTTCCTTAGGATTCTCTCTCAGAGAAGTGATTTCAAAATGAGGTGCTTCTGTTAGTGACACATGTGGGGATGGGAAGAAATGGTGTCAGGGTCCATTTGTACTTGAGTCCCTTCAGGACAGGTCTCTATGGAAATAAATGTTCACAAAACAAAATAGGGCAAAGCAACTCTCAATTGCTGGCTGAGACCCTGACTCCAAACCCTGTTGCAAACCTCAGCAGATCCAGGCTCTACCCCACGGAGGTTTCCTTTTCTTAGGCTAAGTGGTCCCTGAGGAGTTGGGAGTGGGTGCCGTCCACACCTCCACTCAGATCCCTGTTTCCAGCTGGTGCACCCACGGTCCAGCAGCTCTGGGTGTTGCCTCATGTCTGCCCCCGTCTCTAGAGATTTTCCTTCGCCCAGGAGTCTCTTCACGTGGGAGGAGGCGGGCTCCCCCAACTCCCCAGCAGCCTGTATCCAGTGACCAATCAGCAGGGGATACAGAAGGTCAATCCACGTTTCAAAGTGGGATCCACTCTGTGGGACAATTCATGCTCCAGAATGCCCTGTGGGGTCGGGCTTCAGCCAGACCCCAGCTCAGACCACATCTTGGCTTAGTTCCTCCCCTCCCTATCCTGCTTTCTTCACTTCCTCAATAGATCCTGTGTACCCCAATCCTTGTCTCAGGCTCTGCTTTCAGAGAACCAGATATAAAACAGACTACCATGCCAAACTGGCAAAAGGATCTACCCCATCCATGCCCAGACCTGAATCTGGGAACTTACTGTCCCAGGGCGAAGGATGATCACACACATTGAGAGAAGCTGGAGAGGCCCTAGTGTAGATGCTTACCCCATTGCGGGAGTGGAACTGGTCCAGACTGGTCTAGTCTTTTTGGAGCTGTAAGGGTGGAGGGAGTCACAGGCCTGTATCATCAGCCACTGGGGATCAAGAGAGAAAGTGTACCAAAGTGGCATGGAGAATATCAAAGAGAAAGAAAGATGACCTTCCCCAAAGAGGGTTGGTTCCAGAAAGGTTCTAGGAAGAACCAACTGAGAGATGGAGGGGAGTGTGTTTTAGGTCCCTGCAACTGTGGATGCAGAAGAGACCCTACTGTTTGTTCCTGACCTTTTCAGCTCTGTTTCATCTACCAGAGTGTTCCTCCCCTTTGGGGGTGCAGTTGGGGCGGGTGAGAAGGGACTGAGCAGTAGCTGTGTTGGAGATGGGTAGAGAAAAGGTGAAGAGAAGCAATCTTTTCCCCTTGGCCTGACTTCACTTAGCTCTCTCTCTACTTTGTCTTATTTCTTGGACTTCAAATCTTTCATACCCTTCCTTGCTGTGAAGTCTTAGCTCAGCTTTTTGCTCCTGTCAGCTTCTCTCCCATTTTCCCGTCTGGCCAAATTCTTGGCATTCATTCAACAAATATTTACTAAGTGCCTACCAGGCATCAGGCACTTTTCTAGATGTTGGGGAGTCACTAGAAACAGCTGCCTCAGTTGTTGCCAATGGGAAAGACACCCCAAAAACATGCAAACAGCTAAGTAGGATAAATTCAGCAAGAGGGAAGTGTTGTGAGGGAAACGAAAGAAGAGCATCCTGTACTCATCACCCTGCTGTCTGCTTGCATTTGCTGTGAGTCTCGTCTGCCCGGTGAAGCTGCAGGTGATTTGAGGGCAAAGATCTCAGCCGACACTGCTTCCTCCAAGAAGCCCCATCCAGTGTCTCACTCATCACAAAGATGTCAACGCCAACTTGTTGGTTTCTCCACAGCAATTACCCCCAGGCTGTCCAAGTCTGGACCAGCCTTAGGTTTCGATCCTTTTGCCTTGGGTTTCTCCCGCTGCACGATTTGTGTGCAGGGGAGTGGATGTGGCCTCTGATGGCCTGCAGCGGAGCCTTATGCTTCTTGCTGGTGTGCGATAGACAGTGAGTCTCAATGTTCGTAGCCCCATTTCCCTTCTGTGTAAGACAGGGGAGGCGAGGATGCCCATTTCACAGGGTTAGGAGGGATGGAATGAGACCATCTGCATCAAGTTCTCCCTCAAGGGAGGATGTTGGGTGATGGGTCAAGTCCTCATTTAGCACCAAACTTGTGACCAGCCTCAGGAGGATCTGAAAAGAATGCGGGGCCCAAGGCTCTCGCGGTTTGGTTGCCTCCAAGGCAGCCTTGGCCATCAGTTTTGGGGTTAATTGAGGTCCTGAGCGCGGGCCTCTAGGAGGAGGCAGAGGGAAATGCAGGAGGAAGGCTCTCTCCCAGCCTTCCCGCTGCCCCAGACCCAGAGTCCATCTTTTCCCTCCTCACACTGATACCCTCCTGATGTTCCTATTTCTCTCCTTGCTTCGGCTTAAAATCCCAGATTCACCTGGATTTTCCCTTGTCTCTCACCCTGTTCCTCCTCCCGGATCCCAAGTCTCTCGTGTTCTGTGTTTCATGTTTTCCGCCTCCCATCATTTCATTCTCTTCGCCCTTGCCTTGCTCCCAGTCCCAGATCCTCCTTTTGCATTTCTCCGTGGCTGGTGTCACTTCCTCCTGGGTATCTCTGACCCCTGTGTCTCCTCATTACAGTCCATCTGTCACACTTGGCAATCCTGCTTCCTAAAAGGTAAATAGTCCATACCCCGCACACTGGCGTTTGAAGCTGCCTGCCACGTGACCCACTCTACCTTCCCACCTTCCATCCTCGTCACCGTGGCCAAACTCGCCTACTCCCTGCTCCCTGGACGTGTCCCGTATTGCCCTGCCCCTGAGCTTTCCCTCCTGCTGTTCCTGGTGTTAAGGAGGCCACAGTTGCCCTTCCTTCTAGGCGTGGTTCAGATATAGCCCCTGATGCCATGACTGGTCAGGAACTCGCTCTCACCTCTGCGTATTCATGCTCCTCATCTCATACCTTTCCTCTGACGTTTCTGTCTTTCAGCTGCTCTAGGAATTGGGCCCTTTGGTGACGCCACTGAGGAAGTTTTATTTTCTCAGATTCCGATGTGAGCATTCCTCTTGGGTGAAACCCATGTTTGTCGAGAACATGCCTCGGTACGTTCTTTTCAGGGGCAGACGCTGAGCCCAGGAGGGCTGAGGTGGGTGGGACACGACATAACACAAACAGACGGCTGTGGTTGTACCAGGGGGAATGTGGAGAGGCAACCAGAACCGGGTGGAAAACTGTGTGCCCCACAATGTTTCCTCTTCCTGGGATTCTCCGAAGCTTCAGTAAAGGTGAAATTCTAGAGGCGAGAGGCATTCCTGTGGCAGCTCATGGACCCATGGAGCCCTAGGAGTGAGTGAGCCAAAGAAGCAGGAAGAACTCACTGTCGGCAGCCTGCGAGGACTGAGGACAGGGTCTGGTCCCCATGAGAGACAAGGAGTGTGGCTTCTGGCTAGTTTAAGGCGATTTTTGTGAGGTAACTTGGAGGGGCTTAGATGGCATCTGGGATGAGTTTCTCATCCTGTCTGAGAGATACTTGGGGGACGAGCCCTAAAATCCTTCTTTTTGTTGTCTCTAGTTCAATGCTGGTACAACAATTGTTCATTTAAATTGAAATACTCAGATGTGGGTGGTGATTTCTTTGCAAGGGAGTGGGTGCTACTGGTCATTTGGTTTCTCTGAGTTGGGATGACATAGTGCATTTTTACACTTGATCCTCAAGTGGACCATGAGAGTTAGACTTCGAGAAGCTTGTAGACAGATAAAGAAACTGGAGCTCAGAGAGGGTGAGTGATATCCTGCAGATCACACAGCTAGAAAGTGGCAGAACTAGGCCTTGAACCCAGAGCTTCT